CACTTGCCAAAGCAATAGGATGCCAGTTCAACGTGGCTGCCTAAGTTTCAGGCTGTCTCTGCGTCGAGCGCAAGCCCCACCAAGGTTTGGAAGGCTTCGTGTACTCCTAGATGGCATGACATGCCCAAGCATGCTCAATAACACAAGCACACGCAACAAAGCATCGCCCCACACGCTGGAGCATCTGGAGAATGTGCTTTCAGCAACTGACATGGTTTGTGTGAGGAAGGTCCTTTGCCGGAGAGAGCAGAAGTTTGCACCAGAGTCAGTCCGTTCGCGTCTGCGAATGACTTCGCCTCCTCCTTATAGGACAAAGGCAAAAGAGCTGTTTGCAACCAGTTGGGACACGCCCAGCCTTCGTCACCGCAGGCTCACCAGCATCGATCTTCGTCGCCTGGGTATTGTTTACTTTATGCTTGACAATAACTTTTGTCGGAAGGCGAATCCAACCAAGTGGACCGTAATTGGAGGCCCAGCAACGCACAGGACGCAGGCAAGTGGTGCCTTGGAAGACACGTCTGCGCCGGAGATCCTCGGGCACAGTGCAGATGTTCGAAGCATGTTTCTATCACAAGTTCGGCTCTTGGGAGAACATGTGCCACTGAAGGCTGACGGCCATGATGGCCGGGAGTATCCCAGGCGTGCACGCATTCAAACCGTGCAGCATGTCAAAACATGTTAGCTGCAAGCTGCTCCATGTGGCGATCCATACGATGACGGCAAAGAACATGCCAACTCCGCAGGAATGTTGTTCGATCCCTTGCAGAGAGTCGCAACCCCCAACTCGACGCATGCGTACTTCAGCGTACTTCAGTAGCCGAATCAAAACATGCGACCATATGTGACTACCAAATGGCTTCAGCTCACATGGTGCTCACATACGCTGATCTTATTATGGGCTCGGCAGTGGCTCGGCTTTGTTTTACAATCTGCCACGCCTGGAGTCATAGCAAAGTAGAAGTCCACAGACATGCCTCCCGCGAGGCATCTCACCTCTGATCACACTTCCCACAGGGCAAACTGAAAAAGGGTTGCGTGAACCGCATCAGGATCGCATATGATCGCATCAGGCACACTACGCTCACCACACACATCAACGCATCCATTCTCGCAACTCAGCGAAGCGGCGATGTACCGGCTCGCGGCCTGGCGATTGCAAAAATTGAAAAGGGCTGCAGCGAAATTGTGGAGCAAATTGTGTAGAGCACTGGAGAGAGCACCTCCTATTTCCATCAACTCGAACTGGAGCCCATGTGCAGGCAGCAGTTCCCGAAGGCCTCAGTAACTTTAGCACTGAACATGAAATGCTGTCACAGATTGCACCCGGTGCAGGCGAGACACTTCGCCTTAGAGCATCTGCCGGCTCCAGTCGGTACACGCCTGTGAGGCTCTGTCAGCTCTCGCAGGCTCACAAAGGGGGAAGGCATGTCCAGCGACTTGGGCGCTGTGGAATCACCATGCTCACGCGGATGCGCTGGGCCGGGCCGAGGCGGGTCGCGTAGCGTTAAAATTAAATCTTTAGGACATTGTGAACATGGAAGTGACGACGCTAAGTCCAGATCAGATGATTATGGATGCCCCCGCCTGACTCTGCGCCTATCGTTGGAGAAGGTGCAAGATCACCTCTGTGGGCCACTGTTTGAAACAGTCTCGCCAGATCATGCGTTTCACTGCATGGCCTGAAGCTGTACGACTGTACGGTCAAAGTAAGGCATAAGGTTTCCTTCTGGATCGCATGTTCGGGTCTTGTCTTCTGAAGAACGTCTATGCGTAGCGTAACTCAGTGTAACCTTTTAATCCATGCAATCGTGCGGTCTTTGCCCTCAAGATTGGGCCCGCACAAGTGTTTTCAAGCAGTCGCTGGACGAGACATGTCCTGAGAGAGGAGCTTGACAATCTTGCATGTCCGGGGTCGCTGCCACGGTTCCAAAACTCCTAGTACTTGGCCTGTGCATGCTGAGCAGCTTTCCGACCCCAGCTGACCCCACGACCAGCAGCACAGGCGGTTGGGCATCAGCCATGCCAGAGAAGTGGTCGCCTTATTCCTTTTCTTATGGTGTTGCTTCATGGCGTTGATGGTTTGATTTCTGGCGTACCCTACGCATGCTGCCACCCCTGCATTCTTGTATTTTGAGATGTGTGCCCATGATCGAATCAGAACCCGGAACAAGCTGGAGCCAATGGCCCTGTTAACATTCACAGTAGAGTCTAGAGCACATCCGTGGAGTACTCAACTGAAAAGGCTAGCCGGCTAGCTGCGACGCCTGGCGCACGGTCGCTGATCTAAACTAGTAAAAACTGCTCTTATACAGAAATTTACAGAATAAAGAACCCCTTAGGAAACCATTCATCCTCGTCAATTCAGTCAGGCAGGCTCGAGCGAAGATGAAAAACTTTCTCGAAGCCACGGCGTTCCGCCTGCACCGAATTTCCACTCAAATAGCATGTCCGAGCGACCTTGGTGTCTTGATACCACTATGAAATCCACGAGCCTAAGCTGCGATAAGTTCGGACGTAGTTCCTAAACCTGACCACCAGGCGACCACCATCTGTCTCTCTCTGCTTCTGCAAATTCCAAAATGGTTTTGCATCAGACAGCCGCCCGTCCACCGGACCCGACCACTAGATCTTACCGCAACCTCCGGAATTGCGTGTTGGGTACCCGAAGTTGGCAGGAGTTTCACGATGGTGACTGCTATCTACGGTCGCACCACTGGAAGGGCCTCATCGCTCGACGAAACAACTAACACGAACAGATCAGCCCACCTCGGAGAGCTTGTCCGGGGTCATCGACAACACAAAGTGCACGGAGTTCTGCGAGCGGGGTGATAAGGCGTCAACGACTTCCAACAATACATCTAGCAAGAAGACAAGACGGCTAAACCGGCTAAACACGACTAAGACACTCTAGAAGGTCAAGGCACCGCCAACATTACAACTCGTAGCGCCGGTGCCCGAAGCCTCGGAGTGGTATTCCCGCAGCTCTGTAATGGAAGCCCGCCTCAGAACATGTTCAGCGAATGCTCTCGAAACTGGAACAATATGGAACAATACTGCACAGTCTCGAAAGATGTCGAATGTGCCTCTCATCTCCGGGCTTCGGAAGCTGCTCAACCAGCCAGTCCTTGTAGTCCTCCGACGAGCATCTCGTTACGTGCCACGACCACGAAACCGAACCTACGAAGTACTACCAAGACACAACTGACAGCGCCCACTTCGAATCTATGGCTCGGACTCAATTTTACGCACACTGCAAAGTCAGTAGCTTAAGGATCAAGAGGGCCCTCTGTGGGCCGAAAAGAAAGACCGCGGGTGATATGGCCAGGGAGGAAGCCTCCACTGATTTCAGGACCGCGGGTGATATGGCCAGGGAGGAAGCCTCCACTGATTTCACAGCTCCCAAAACTCTTTCTGGCCATTCACCGATGTTTCACGGTCCCGGCATCTCGGCGCTCAGCCCGCTCTTCAAGCCTTTCGGTTTCGGCAACTAACTGGTATGTCCCTTTTTCTAAGAGCTTCTTTAGGGCCTCAGCGTTGCCTTGAATCTTTGTGAGGGCATCTACAATCATGGCTTGATGCTCAACCCAGCGAACTTCGGCGCCTACGCCATCCATTCTCTCACGAGCTATCGCCAAGTCCAGCGCGGTGTACTTGTCTTGGGCCAGCGAACCCTCCTTTCGGAGGTTGTCGTAGAGCGACTTCGCATCCACAACTGTCAGCGAATCTTTGAGCGTGTGATCTGCCTTGGCACTCTGCAGCACCAAATCGGCCTGGGCTCTGACGTTCTCTTTGAAAACTTCGAGGCTGAACTTCTCCTGGATCAAGTCATTCCAGATTGCTTTCGCCCACAGAAGATCTCCTAGACCTTTGTTGAGCGATTGAGTCTCGGCGGCCAAGGTTGAGTTCACTTTTCTTCTCAGCTTTCCGCTCTTCCACCAGACCAGCGAGCAGGTAGCTTCGTGCCCCTGCAACATGTCCTTGTGGAATGCTATGACTCCCAAGGCCCCCTGGGTGGAGCCGTCGCTGTAGTTGGTGAAGCTTGCATCCGTGACCACGCCCCATCTCAGGTCCTCGCACTCTATTGGGAAGTAGCGCAAGGTGAGGTCTGGCCAAGCGCGCACCTTATTGATGCACTGGTTCAGCTCGAGAATGTCCTTGATCTTGAGCGTGCTCAACTTGGATGCCATTATGCTGGCTCCAGCGGCGGCATCTGGACGACACTCCTTGGCGGCCCACGCTAAAGATCCTACGGCGCCTCTGAATTTGTTCTTCTCTTCCTCCGTCGCGTCCGCCTCGGGGTGAGCTCTGCGTCCCTTTTCCAGACTCACTGGCGCCATTCTTTCGGACACGAACTTGCCCATGTCTATGCAGACGGTGTAGTCGCTCAGTTGTCTGATGCGTCGCCCGTTGAATGTCGTGCCATCCAAGAGCTGCATCAACTGCTTGAATTTTCCGAATTTAAAGCGCTCGCGCAGTTTTGCCAGCTGAACTTCATGATCTCGGTTGCCAAAGCACAGCAAGTCGTCGATCTCGATCACTATGATCCCTTCAACGGTGCCCTCTAAGTATTTAACGAAGATGGTTGGGTCTAGCCTGCTTTGCTTGTAGTTCAAGTCCTTCACGATGTAGCTCTTCAGCGTCTGGCGCCAATGTATGGGACCATCCATGAGCCCGTAAACGCCGGCCACCACTTCGATGATCTGTTCTGGGTCCATGTTCGGTAGACCCCCTTTTGGCTGCCTCACGTAGAGCTTGCCGCCTGGTCTCAAGAGAGGGTCCGACTGGGTGAAGGCTGCTTTCAGGTCCCCGCAGGACCCCTTCAGCTTCATACTTGCGGCCAGCTGCAAAACCACTTGCAAGTTCTGCGTCGTGACCGTCGGGCTGTATCTTTCCAAGTCCAGAGCATCGGGATCCATGTCACCTCGCACGCAAAAGCGAGACTTCTTTGACGGTGTCTCGCCAATCTGTTCCCCGGGCTTCAGCCTTCGGACCATTCTTGACCCGATCACCCGGTTCAGCTTGCCCTGCGACTCCAGCTCCTTGAGGACTCTTCTCGACTCCTCCACCGACAGCACCTTCGTCGCGCCGGAACTTTCTATTTTGCTCCACTCTTCAGCGTCTTGTAGTCGCCAGGCTGGCCACTCCTCTTCGGGAATGTCGGCCTCGCTTACCTCATCCGTCGCCACCTTTTTCATGACGAAGGTCTCGGCATTGAGGACCATGAACGTATACGCTTCGGTCGTCTCCACGTCAAAGTTGGGGATCTCTTTCGACGTTACATGCTTCAGGTTCCTTAAGGCCTTCTTGGTGACATAGAAGTCGGTGAAGCCTTTCCATTTGGCCTTCAGATCTCGCTGTGGTTTCAAACTCTTCCAATCGTCCTCCATTTCTTGCACGCTTCCATCTTTCATCTTCGCCATCGTCTTCCTCTCTCCTGTGAGATCTTCCAGCTTGACTGGCAGCCTCGTCGTCTCCCAGGGTGTGCACATCGCGCTGCGCCAGCGAACGTGATGCCTTCTCAGGACGCCCAGGGCCGGCTTTAGCTCCCAGGTGTCACGCTGCACTTCGCTTTGTCGCCGAGGTGGAACTGGCGTCGGTCCTTCTTCGAACTCATCCTGGCCAAAGAACGAGTATGGGTTGCCCGGCTCCTGCTGCCTTCTCAGGGAAGATCGCACCGGCTCATACCCGGCGCTGCTCTCCGCCTCTGCTAGCCTGCTTGGCGCTCTTGGGGGAACACCGTCCAATCTCTGGCTCTGCACCGCGGAGTCCACAGCTGCGCGTAGTCGTTCTTCTCGACCGGGAGCTTCAGGAACGGGGAGTTCGGGAACCTCTATCTCTGCCTCGGGCTCCGGCGCTGATGCTTGCCTTGCTGGCTCTGCTGGGACTTCTGGCACTGGAGTTTCTGGCAGTTGCGCTGGATCGGGAAGTTCTTCTGGCGGAATAGGTATAGGCACCACGGGCGTCTCCGGCTCGTCAATCCTCACTCGGGGTAGCCCTCGATGTAGGCCTTCTGCGCTCACTTCATCTTCGCCAGCTTCGCGAACTATGGCTCCTCGGGAAACTCCTGGTGGAAGTGGGTCGCCCGTGTGGTCCTCGATTAAACGACTGCTCGACTTCTTGAAGCGCTCCTTTAGGTCCTGGAACACTTCGCGCACAGCTTCCACTCCGCGAACCTCCTCCGACGTGGCCTCCCGCACGTGCTCGTTGCAGACCTTCCAAAGTCTGCCCAACACATTGACGTAGCAGTTCGCTCCCTCAGGCATCAAAACGACGCCTGGCCCGACCCAGTTAGGCTTAAGCACACCTTTATCCTTCCACGACCGCCAAATGTAGACGATCTCTCCCGGCTGAAAGGTTCGGTGCACGCGATTCCTGGCTCGGAGAGCGTGCTTAGCCGCCTCGGACAGGTTTGTCTCCACGAACGCCTTCTGGGCAGCCCTGCGCGCTGCCAACACTCTTCCACCTCCTCACCGTGGTTCACCAGCGCGGGGTCAATGGCATCGTCCGACATGAGCTCCCCATTGGTCCGCGCTGTCTGCCCCAGCATCCTTTGAGCTGGAGAAAAGCCGGAGCGATTGAAGAGGCGATTTTTGGCTGCTTCCACCTCACGTGTCAGCAACCTGAGGTCATCCTCTGAGCACGGAGGATTCTGCCACTTCGCCTTTTCCATCATCTGCTTGAAGAGGCCGCCATGCCTTTCACAGCGCCCGTTCTGGTGCGGCGCCCTGGCCCCAATAACGTGCAGAAGCACGCCTAGTTCCGCGCATCGGTCTCGAAATTCGCCCAAGAACTCTCGCCCTTGGTCCAGAAGGAGGATCTGTGGCATTCCTAAGAAGCGCCCCCACGTTCTGGTAAAGGCCGCCCACACACTCACGGGCTCTTTGCTTCGTAGCTTTTCCACCATCTGGAAGGAGGTGCCCAGGCAAATCATGTTCAAGTACCAGTTCTGTCCGGAAGCATCCCAATTCGGCATCTGCAAGAGGTCGATCGCGACCACGGTGTTGGGCGCGTACGACCTGGGCACCATCGCCGGCCTATGCGCCTTCGGAGTTCTACTGGCAGCGCAGGTAGGACATCTGAAGCTGTCCTTCGCCCAACGCCATATCCTGTCTGGTGTTCGGCTCACCTTCAGAGTTCACCAGATCCGCCAAGCTGGGGTGTCCCAAGTTTCGATGCAGCTTCATCACTGCCTCCTTTTCTTGTCTTGTAGGCTCACCCACCGGGACGACCGAGTCTTCAGGACGTTCGTCCACTGTGTCCATCGGGCGAAGGTCGAGCTCGTCGAAGATGTCCTGCTCTGCGACCTCTCCGGGGAAGCACTCGAGGTTATAGTCCATGATTGCCCCCTCCGCTCGGGGCGGCTTGCCCTTCGCCATGGCATACTTGACTGCGTCCTTGAAGTTTGTGATCTGGTACTTCTTGCGGTATAGCAGGTAGGACGCGGTGCCTTCTGAAGTGGCCTCCTTCAGGTTCTTCAAGCCTGATGACAGCGGCCCCAAGGCACTGATTACGAAGCCACGGCCCTTCCTCCACTGATGTCTCGCGATGCGACAAGCCAGCGACGACTGCTCCGACGCCACCTTGTTCAGGTATATTACTTTGGGACCTTGGCTCTCGATGTCCTTCCACACCGCATTCTGGTTGACGCCCTTTAGGTCTATGGTCATGGCGTCAACCCCGGCACTAGCCCCCACGAGGTAGTCCAGGATCTGATCAGACTTCGCCTTGTCGATCTTGGTCTCGTCGCTCTGGTGCTCCAAGTACAGCTCGGGCTCTTTGACCACCACATAGACCTCCTCGTCTTCCAGGCTGCGCAGGCCCTCCACGTCCTGCCGGTCCATTCGCTGCAGGACACCGTTCTTGGAGACCACCACAAAGTCGTCCAAGAAGGGAAGAGGCTTGGCCATCCAACGACGCACCATGTTAGGCGTAGCACTTTGCAACACTCGCGTTCCATCCCACGATCTGACGTTCTGGCCTACGTTCACATTCCTGCCAGTTGCTTCGCCACTTGGGTTCTTTGGGTCATCATGCGCGCGTAGAACTGGTTCACCATGTCCACCGCTTGCTTCATCGTGGCCACGGCTTGCTCCCAGTCGCTCTTGGTTTCTCGCAAGGGCAGCGTGTTCGCTCGATGTCGGGTCTCCTGCTCGTAGCGCTGAACTCTCTTGAACTCGGAGACCATTGCCTGCACCTGGTTCGCGGTAGTCGGGTCCATCTCGGACAGGTGAGCCTCCATTGCGGTCACGTTCTCCACCGCCCTCTCGAACTCCAGGTACTCGCCCTCGCGCAAGTCCAGCGTAGTCTGCAGCTCGTCGCTCCTGGCGCGCTCGTCCGCCAGCTGCTGCATCAGGTTTCCCATCTCCACCTGGTGCTTCTGGGCCATTCGCTTCTCTTGTTGTTTCAGAGCGTTCTCCGCCAGGTTGAGGGTCTTCTCCTTCGACTGGTTCACGGTCTCCACTGGTCGGCCGGTCAAAGCTCCGGCTGTTCTCGGGCTGAGTTTCCATCGAGCCTTGCACAGGTTGCAGTGGAACCAGTTCATGTGTCCATTGCCTCCTTTTTTGAGCTGCTGAGCTGGGTGAGCACAGCGGCCAATCTCTTGAGTCGGCACGCCTTTCACCGAAGCCAGCTGTTCGGGCCTCTCGCCTTCCAGGTAGTTCTTGTAGATCTGGCCCCTGCTGGTAGCCGAACTCGTAGTCAAGGTCGCTGGCGAAGTGGTATCCGTAGGGCTGGGCTGCTGCTGCGACTCTGGCCCGGGAAGAGAGAGCCACGGTGACACCACGGTTTGCCAGTATCCCCAGGCCAGCAGCGAGCAGAGTTTGTCCAACAAAACCCGCCAGTTTCGGACGGCGAGCCTTGGCCGGCTGACGGGATTCCGCACTAGCTGCCATGGATTCCGCTGCCGCCCCTGCTGCTGCTGCTGCAGGGCACGAGAAGCTAGCATAGGCCTCGGACTTAAGAGTCTTGGGCGATCTTGTAGTCTTTGGTCTCGAGCCAAAAACCTGCCCAGTGCGAAAGTCGGACTCCATACGACGCCCTGCACACGCGGAAGGCATCACCCAACCTTCAGGACCAAAGTCAAGCACATCCACAGCTGCGTGCCCTGAGGGAAGAGTCGTCATGTTGCACTCTCCATTCACTTTGCTGAAGGTGATCTTGTCTTTGCTTAGGTCAATGACTGAACCCAAGGCCCTCAAGAGACTAACCGGCAACAGCAATGGCACGTCTTCGGCTACGACTGTCAGCTCAAGCACTCCTGGAACTCCACCGAGGCCGATGGGAACTTCGCACACGCCGACTGTTTTTGCTGCGCCTCCAATGCCGCGTGCCTGGGTGGCCTTGTCCGTCCAGCAGCCTTTTAGGCCTAGGGGCCTCAAAAGGTCCAGCAAACGAAGAAGGGCCGGACGACCCACCAGGCCTTCCTGAGCCGCAGTGTCCGCCAGGCCGTGGCATCCCTGCGTAGTCACTCCCACGAAGAGCTCGCCCGCCATCGACTCGCCCGGCCTGTCGTTGAGGAACTGGCCGAAGGACAAGAAGGTGTTCGCTCCACCAGACCCGGCATCCATTCGGCCGGCCCAGTAGAAGGACCCTCGGCTTGCTCCCGGGCCCGACGATGACGAAGAGGTAGTCAGCGATGGCCCCGCTCGGTGCCTACACTCCTTGCTCCAATGCCCGACTTCTCCGCAAGCCCGGCATCGAGTCCTAAGCTTGAGCTGCTCTATGTGCACTCTTCGTGACGTAGGCGACCCCTTCCATGCCGAGCCGCCTTTGCCGAAGGACTTGCTGCTCGGCTTGCCGGTGTTCTTGCCGTCCTTGTTGAAGAGCTTCTTGCCCCCTTTCTTGCCAAGGTTCGGCTGGTAGTACTGCCGGCCCTTTTGCTGTTCTTTGAGCTGCTGCCGAACATGTTGGTACGACGCCAAAGCTTCCATGACATCGCCTTCCTCGTACACCGCGTCCAGCTCGCCATCTTCTAGGTACACGTAGTTCTCGTCTTCTTCGTCTTCCGCCTCCAGGTAGAACTCGGGCTCGCCATAGTGCTCGTGGTTCTCGTAGTACACCTCCTGGCCTTCGCCCTCTTCAGTCTCCGTCCAGAGCATCGCCTTGGACCCGGAGCTGCTCGAGTTGATGCGGTCAAGTCGCCTTAGGTTGGCGATCACCACATCCTTGGTGTAGTCGCCAGCCAACCACGTGACCACACGGGACTCCAGCTCTTTGTCCAAGTTCGCCTGCCGAAACAGCAAGTATCCGGCAGCCTTCGCCGGAAGGTCCACGCCCTCGGCTTTGAGCTCCGCCAAGGCATGCGACGCGCGCACCAGGTAATCCGGGATGGACTCCTTGGCACCTCTAGCCTGGCCATAGAACACGCCCTCCATGGCCCTCGGCAACGCTGTCTCCACATACGGCTTAAAGTTGTCGTTGAGCACTTTCATCACCGTCTTGTAGCCGTCCGCATGCTGGAGCTCGGCCAGCGTCAAAGACGACACCGCCTCCCTTGCTGGCCCTGTGAGAGCTTGAACCAGCTTGATCGCCCTCTTCTCCTTGGGAATATCCGTCGTGGCCTCCCACAGCTCAAGATCTCGAAGCCAGGTCTTGAAAGAGACCTCTGGAGTGGAACCGTTCCAAGAAGGTGGGGGATCTCTATCTCGGTAGACATATCCTCCAGGATCGCCTGAGGACTGTCCTTCCGAAGTAGATGGCATCTTCACTCACTCGCTCTTGTAGATGTCGACGTGGCTGGGCTCGATCAGATACGTCACCACCTTCCCGCGGCTGATCGGTTAGAAGGCGAGGAGGGAAACAGCAGGCCCCTGGGACCGCCGGCTGCGACGCCACACACGCCGCCAAGAGCCACGCAGGCTCCGCTGCCAACTGACAGCGCCCACTTCGAATCTATGGCTCGGACTCAATTTTACGCACACTGCAAAGTCAGTAGCTTAAGGATCAAGAGGGCCCTCTGTGGGCCGAAAAGAAAGACCGCGGGTGATATGGCCAGGGAGGAAGCCTCCACTGATTTCAGGACCGCGGGTGATATGGCCAGGGAGGAAGCCTCCACTGATTTCACACAACGGTCTTGACAATCATTGCTCTCTTCTGTCTGGCTGCCTGGCTCGAAGCCCTCCAAAGGAGTGCCGAATTGAGCTAGGCAAGCGGCAGGATATGGCAAGCCACTCGAGTGAACTCTGTCACTAGTAACAGCTAACATCCCACCCGCCGTCGTTTACGAAGGTCTGGTCTTGTTTGGAGCCTGCACCTTCACCCTCTTGGAAAGCTGCTTGGCTAACTGTCTTTCAGGAGCACGCAGTCACACCACCATCCACCGCGAAGGTCTCAGAAATAGAAAAGCATCGTTTCGTATCGTTTCTCTGGATGTAAAGCTCAACTGCCCAACCAATCGGTTCGTGCCGGTCCTGCGTCCAGCGTCTCGGCGGAAGTTCCGTGATCTCCAGGCGCACGCGACCTCTCCTGGTACGATGCGTCGGTGGTTTCACTCGCGAGGACCTGAGGCTGAGCTCGCGGCTGCGAGGCCACACCAAAAGCCTCAAACCTGAAAAAGTTGCAGCTGCCCATGGCTTCATATGGCTCGGCCGAAGATGTTCCTGCATAAGTCCAGCACTTGCCGGTTGCGCCTTCAATCGCCTTCACCTTGCAAAGGTGCAACATCTGTGGACACCACCACTGCAAGGCCCCTTTGCCGAATGATGCTCCACAAATATCCGAGTTCCGAGCAGTCCCCTTGAAGCCCCGAAACCACGGCACCATGGGGTGCATCGCTTCCCTCAGAAGCCCAGGAAGGCATTAATTAGCATTCCGTCGCATTCCATTCTCGATCAGCAAATGGATAGCTAGTGGTGTGATGTGAGTCCTCAGTCCTCACTGGTTCTTGCTGTTCTGACATGTCGTGACTCAGGGCGGCGCTTTCGCAGCAGACGCCGGATGTTGGCAATCACATCACGCCTCAGCTTGGGAAGTGTCTGCAAACTCGGTCGACTCTTCATGATGTAGCCATGGCCTGGAATGATGGCCGTGAATGCTCCTCTCCTTTGACTGGGGCGATGACGGATTGTGATTGGGAATGCTGGTGCTCCATCCCGTCCCAATACCTTTCAAGCACAAGGTGGACAGAACTGGCTCACAAGAACTGCAAAAAGGCTCCGAAGAAGGCTGCGTCATTCTGACCGAACTCAATTCCTTCACAAAAAAAGCATGGAAGGGCAGAACACCATCCACGCCATTGACGAGTGCCATGGGAATGACGGGACAGTAGTATCCTGGCACAAAAAGTCCAGCTTTGGCATGTCGAATCTGCCGAGTTGATCTCTAAAAACCGTCTCCACTGAGGCTTGAGCTGGGCTCAATTTGATGGCCTTCTTCGCTAAGATGCCTTGGGACATTCAAGCTATTGCTGCCACAAGCTGCATCAAAACTTGCTCAGTGTGCTCGCTTTAGGCACAAGCTCCAACACGGCATCATCTTCAGCGGGGAACAGACAGCGGGTCACCTGTTCAAGCGATTTCAAACGGCACCTTTGAAACTGCGAAATAGTCGGATGGAGAATTATGGCCAATTTCCGGGCCTTGGATAGGCATGTGAAGATATATCGAGCTGCGGCGTGATCCTGACCATTGCAGCAAACAAAACAGGGATACACCGAGCCAGCAACATCACTAAAGTGAACGCAAAAACACTCCACCAGTCTCACACGCCCCTTGCCCTGGCGGATGTCATCGAGAAACAAAACAATCCAGAATGCCAGACGCTTCTACTTCTTCTGGCAGCCTACTTGTGCCCGACAAGCGTGCGAACGCAGTGCCAGTGGCACCGGCTACCAAGTAGCTGTGTGGGCCAAAAGAAGACAATGTGTGCTACACCATTTAAGCATCGCCTTTGAAGAATGCCACGATGGAGCAGAGTTCTGCCAGGTCGCCGGCTATTTACCCTTGGGCAACTCGACGGCGCTTCAGGCCCTATTGCACGTGGAGTGATGGGACGGGTGAGCTTGAGGTTCCGTGGGGCCAACAGCACCATCAGCACCTCTTCGGCGACTTTTTTTCAAGGCACTTTTTTTCATTCTTTTTATGGCCTCGCCACCATCCTCCAGGTGTCGTGCTCTCGGGTGCTCTCGGGTGCTTTGGGCGGACAGGCTCAGGGTCGGGGCCAACTGCTTCCCAATTCCACAGAACAGAAACGGACGAGACGAGACGGCCGCTGACAGAAACGGCGGTGGTTTGGCTCCACGGCCAACACAGAAGGCTCCCCTTTTCGGCTGTTCTTGGCCGTCGGAATCGGGGCCCACTAGCCTCGACCAGCCTTTTCTTAGTTGATCGCAGCAAGACTCGTTTCACGGCCAAGACTTTGTTTTCCAGGCGTACCGACTGCAAAGTAGCTCAAGGGCCATGAGGCCAAAAAAAAGTCAGTAGGGGGGGGGGGGGGGGGGCCAATCTCTACGGCGACAAAAGCACCGAAGCATGTTTTGCTAGCTGTCATGGCTCGAAGCCCAATGTCAACTAAGAAAGCCTGAACATTTCTCCACTAAAGAGGAATGCCTTGGGTCCGCGGTCCATGCTACAGAAAAAAAAAAAAAAAGGTCTCGCGCCTTTCCGCCCTGCAGCCTGGATCCAAATTGGCCCCGAGGCTCGAAGAGGTTGATCTTGGTTGATTTCAGGATGCAGAGCAACCACAATGACCCAGAGAATCCGGAGCAAAGTTCAAGCATGTTCAAGGCTCGAGGCAGCAATGAAATCGAGCGCCCTGTTGCACCCCTCTGCTGGGACTCAGGGCATTGTTGCTGCCAACAAATGTCTGGGCCATGGAGATGATGGTGCCCTGCCAAGCTCACATGCTACATGCAAAAAACATGAGAGCTGTGCAAAGTGCCGCAGCGGGGGCTTTTAACATGTAACTTGTACTCTGGCCCTGTAATTTCAGCAGCTGCCTGCAAGGAAGCCTCACCATGGTGGTAAGCGGAGGTCTCGGCCACATAGCCTCGGCAACGAGTGCACATGCAGCGGTTCGAAGCGACGGATGCTTGAGGCAGACATGGCTGACTTAAGAGATGCCTATCGTGGTCCCACACGCTTCTTGTAAAGCCCATTTCGTGTGAATCAACTTGCAGAAAGGGACCCACACACGACATCTTGGAGCTCACTTGTTTGAAACCATCTTTGCTTGGACACAAATAAGAAATTGTCATCTTGCTGCAAAGAACTGCAACATGCAACAAGAACGCCAGGCGAGGGGTCGAGAAACTCTGCAACTGCCGCATGCCCAAGCGCGAAGGCAGAATTTGAAGAGAATTTCTGGCTCCGCGCCTGAGAGCTGCGCGACCTTGATCTCGTTCGTAAGCTTCTTCTTGAAGGAACCATACAGCACCTCTGTATTCTGCATGGACCGCTTATGGTCGCTTGGCACATCTGCATTCATGCAGAAACTGCCTGGGTATCAGACAGAAGGCTCGAGCATTTCATTACTCTCGGGAACACAAGAAAGTATCAAAAGGCCAGTTTGTCTGGGAGAAGTCACACTTCACACGAGAGGTGGCCTTGCGCTGACCCGGCTTCAAGCCATCGACAAGGGAAGGCCTTACAGTACAGATGTGAAATCACACGAAGGCACAGGCAGAGAAGAGAACACAAATGCTCACCACAACAGCCTTAAGATTTTGCACAGGTCGAGGGCCCAGCACGGCCCGCTCGACATCATACTTCGCGAACAAGACGAGCTCCTGCGGCAGAAGCTCTGAGCAGCTTGCATCGGACGGGTTCCGTGAAGAACAAACATCGTCCTTTTCAACGAAATCCGAGTAGCTCAGTGTGGTCTGCGAGTGATCAACGTAGGTGCCTTCCTGCACCAAGGCATGGCCAGTGAAAACGGCATAGACGGGAAAGCGAAAAAAGCGAAGTGCACAGCCGCACGTCCATTGTACACGACACACACTATGCGATTCGACAAAGAACGATAACACGGATGCCTCCACACTTGAGATCCAAACCTTGCGATCGTCAGACCTCATCAACCGTAGGATTGATTGCAATAACATTGCCAACAATAAAGATCGACAAAGATCCTGGGAAAACGTAATTAGAGCCGCACCGTTTAGCCGCAAAAGCCATATCGATGAGATCGTCGTCGCGGCTTCCTGGAGCACCCGGGGATCAAGATTTGAGCCTTGTGAGGCAAGCAACTCCGCCTGAGTACGTAAACTCGATGGCATGGTCTTGGAGATCAGCAAAGTACCTGGTTTCCATTGGCATCTCGTAGGTCTACTGGTATCACCAAAGCTTCCAGAAGAATGAAGACGATAGCATCAACTTCCAGCATTGGCTGGAGCGGCTAAAGGCTGGAGCCACAGCACAGCCAAGGATCTTGAACGTTGTAACATTGTGTCATGTTGTGTGGGTCATCCGTGCTCAGACTCTGCTCCCAAGGTCCCACTCTGGCGTTAACAGACCCAAACAGGGCTCACAACTGCGTCTCTGTTTGACCATGCCGTTCAGAAGCTTCAAAATCTTGGGAGGAGACAAGCTGGCTTAAGCAATGGCTAGAAGCTTGAGACCAGGGATGACCAGGGCACTCTTTGGCCTCGGAGCTTGTAGATGTTCCAAGACCTGCCATGGGTAAAGGGACGGAGAAAGCGGGTTCAGTTGGCATCAAGCCGGCATCAAGCCGGCATCAATGCTACTTGATGCTACTTGCAGCATCTTGCAGATGCCGCAGGCTGTGCTCTGCTTGAAAACTGTTCCTTCAACGTGGCCTTTGTAGTACTTGCATTTCCAGCCGCGACCATCATCGTGAGCCTCCACCAGGGCTACATATGGCAGCTGCTCCGGCGGTACAGTCCCTGACTTGGAGCCCATGCCTTCTTCCAAGATTCGTACTCAGGCAAGGTGAAGAAAGTCTTTGTTTCATCGCCTCTGGACACCTGGACACATGTCCAGGTGCATTTTGTACCGTGTCATCGTGCACATTCCGCCATGTTCCAAGCCTCCAAGCTTGCCACGATTGTCCATACACTTCTGTTTTGCAGCTATGCAGCTATGCTGCTATGCTGCTAAGCAGCAAAAGAAATCTAGTGACCCGCTGAGAACCGAGCCTTCACGATCGGCGTTACGAACTCCTTCAGGAAGCCTGGCAACCTTTCAGAGGAGCAGTCTGCACAAAATGCTTCAGAAAATGTACCTTGCAGCAGACACTCTCCTGAAGCATCCAGAGGGTGGTTGACGAAAACGGCTGCCTACACTACACTGGCATGAACGCGAAGCCGGGCCTGAGAAGTGAAGGAAACCAGTGCTGAATGAAGTTGATGATGAGGCCCTCAAAAGGAGGGAGACTGGCGGAGCCCCCAAAGGATGGCCCGGTGAGCGAAATCCCCAGCCTTAATGTGAGACCCGTCATGGTCCTGGTCAGTCATGATCATGATGGAACCTGGGCACGATGGTGCACGGTGGCATGTTGAAGACCCCTGGAATCTGTGTCCACGGGCCGTAGCGGAGACCCTTGGCATCACGATATTCCTGAAGCCGGTGTGACTGCAGAGGACGTTCTTTGAAGTTCGAGTTACGGCAAAGGACACAGGAAGTGCAAGAAGCGGAACAGACCAGCTAGTGTCCTTCGTTGCATCCAAAGCCATGATTTTCAGAACCTGGGCCCGAGGGAGGGACGGCCTTACACCACCTGCTACACCGTCAGGTTGCCACGTCTGTTGCTGTTAGATGCTACATATTGCTACATGTTGTTGCGTTAGAGCCGCCCTCTCTTTATGAAGATTCCTTGGGGCTGGAGTAACGTTGTGACTGCGATGCCTGGTCGATCTCTTTGTTCTCCAGCATCTGCTTCACCGTGAGTTCACGGACCTCTTGCGGCTCCATCGGTTCAAGCACATTCAAGCATGCCAAGTCAGCACACAACTTGCTGTATCGGTTCTCTTGGCATCACGGCGTTCCGAAGCTTTCCCCGCAGAGGAAAGACACCGAAGCGGTCGCGGCCCACAATGCCAAGACCAGCGACAGCCAGGGTCTGTCAAACTCTCGGTTGAGACTCGTGCCCCACACTTGTTCAAATTCTCGCGAGCCTTGGCTGAGTCGCCCTCCGTGAGAATAAGCGTGCAGGAGTCGCCCTTCGATGACAAAAGCGGCACTCGCTCCACGGCTTTTTCACTTCCTCCTCTTTAAAAAGACTCAACCATCAAACCGGGCCTCTTTCGTTCCAGCCATGTTAGCATCTTCCAGCTTCGGGACACCAAACAAGCGCTTCTGTAGACCTTCGAAACATCGCGTAACTGCAACGTGCGGAAAAGCTTCGTCCAAGGCCGCTGAAGCGACTAGCACCAAGAAATCATTCGAAGATATCCGAAGACCGCACGCGTTGCCTAGATCGCTTTTGTTCAGATGCTGGGCAAGCTCGTTCTTCCCCATGGCTTTGGACCACTCCTGCGAGCAACGCGGAGATTGAAAGCTGCATCAGCGCTTGACTACAGAGGGAGGCATCTCAATTTTTTTCGAGCGGCGCGAACATGGTCGGTCGAGCCACCTCCCGAATTGCAACGGACAGTCCTGCATGCCAACGTGCACGCAAAGCCCAAGCTTGGGATGCTATGTGCTTTCTGGATGTTTGGCGTGTCACCCTGTGGCCATGCCACGTGTTGAGCGTTGCCAGATTGGACTTTCCCAAGACTGCATGAGCTGGGCTCCAGCTTTCTGCCTTCCAGTAAAGCCACCACATAAGGCTTTGCCCATGGAGCTTGTGGCGTCACCTGCATTGAAGCTACAGCCTACCACCAGCGTGGCTCGAGCTGGCACCCTGGCCATGGCCTTGCCAAGACCCTCAAGGACTTGTGACGTCTCATGATCTGAATGGTAGAGTGGCCTGTTGGAAGCCACCAAATTGGGGGAAGCTCTGCCGACTTTCCGACAGCTCGCGGCCACGCTTGAAGAACAACAACAAAAGATGGCTAGCAAATCCCGAAACCGTCCCGTAATTCACAGGCTATAGGCCCGGCATAGCCCGAAGGGTAGAACTACGGACGGCTACACTTTCTACAGCAACCACAACAAACAAGAACCAGAACCAGAATAAAACACAAGGACAGGAACAAGAAGACCTGACCCAGGAAGGCTCTGGAAGCTATAACCTCATTGGAGAGCCAACTGCACCGGTCTGGCCTGAGGAAGGGACAAGATCGGAGAGGCTCTTGCGCAACCGGCCCGCGAAAGGTGCTCGGAATGCGACATGACCCATGTCAATTGTCCGTTGTCCGGTCCCTCTGCAAAGACTCGCACACCGCCCACAGAGACCTGGGTAGAGACCTGCGGCTCAGTACATGGCAGCTGCCTACGGCATAACAAAACCGAGCCCTCCAGGGCAACACTTTCTCCAGCCAGGAGAAACTGACCGACAAAGTTGCCAGCAGCTCACTGGGACTGGCTTGTGCAGCACTTCGAGCGGTGAACTGCATTGAACTGCACCGGGCTGTTGCACGGGTTCCCAAGCAGTTGACTTCTGACATCCGATTGCGATCCACTTGAGCCGCGCGTGGTCTTCAGATGTCTTCAGAGTGCCCACTTGGCTTGAAGGTAACAGCCTGCAGCTGGCCCTTCAGTCGAAAGCAAAAACGTGCAAAAAACGCACACAACACAAGAACGAGGCAGTGCTCCTGAAGAGCATCGATGATGCCGCTTTCCACAACTTCGTCCAACAGCTCCTGCGGTGCAGAAGATGACAGGAAAGTAGCAAACCATAGTAAACTACTAGTAAACTGGATGGCGGGAAAGCTAGCCCATGGGTTGGATGGAATGGCTTTTTCCGCGCTTCAAATCACGCTAACAGGCTGGGCATTTTTTGAGACATTGGGCAGCTCCATCTGATAATGTCTGCTACTATCTGAGTCTCCATCTGATAGCCCCAAGAAGGAAGCACTTAAGTTGCAGCGGCAACAAAAGGGGCAAACGGTCAACCTGGTTCAACCCTTAAAGAGATCCAAAGAGGAGCGATGGGCCCTAAATTCTGTAGATCCTTGAAACTGCGCTGTAAACCAGCACAAATCCGCCCAACAGATTGAGCCCACCGTTTGCACTTGTACCCAGCGCGCCTCAGGCAGGCGACAAGTTGATCCAAACCTGACAGGTTTAGACATGTTTCGAACATGATGCTCAAAATTGCTCCCGACACCTCGACATCTACTGCCAGCTTGTGACAAGTTCGGGCTTATTGCACGTAATCCTGTGCCTCTCTCGTTTGCTTGTCAGGGTCTCCTGTGGTCAGCTGCTCAACCCGCTCACAGAGACGTGCAAGGCAGCAAGACCACAACCAGGAACCATAAGGGCCCGATGAATCATGGTGACGCCACATGTGCCTGTAGTTTCGTGGGATGCACGGGTCTACTTGGTTTTTTTGTGTCCTTGGTCTGCGAGTCGAAGGCCGGGTTCTCGATCTGGCAAACACATCTCTAGACGAGAGCACGACTGACAGGCACAAGGCATATCAGGCCAGCTCCACCAAACAGTTCACGAAAATCCACAAGTAGCTTTTGACGTGCTGACTCTTCACGGCCAATGGACCTGCAGTGATCTGTAGAAAACCAATTCTGAAGTGGCTCTTGCTCTACTTCTGGTAAGTGCCTCCGTTTTTTTGCTTCCCAATCTTCTCGAGGATGGCACTGACGACCTGCAGGACCCCACATTCCAGGATCTGCTCGGAATCTGATCCGTTGTTACTGCGTAGCAGGCACTTGCTTCATGCTTAACTTCTAAGCGAGCTGTATTTTCTGACGACAGCAGCAGCAGCAGCAGCAGCAGCAGCAGCAGCAGCAGCAGCACAACCTGGTCAGCAATGTAGGTCACATGCGTGCCGCCGCGGGAGGTGTTGATAGAATTCACGAAGCTCACCTTCGCACAGTCGCACGTTGAAGGCTGCATAAGACAATCACCACTCCGCCGACCCCGGCAAGCTGGGGGGGAGCGCTAGTGAAGGGAATTGTCCGCAAACCCAACCACTTCTCGCCTACCCAAACCCCACACCCCCCTTCCCAGCCCCGGCCCCCACCCCCCACCCCCGACCCTCAAAAACACTCCAGAATTCTTCGTTCGTTTTTGGCGACCCTCTTTCACCCGCCCGCCCAAACCCTTGTCCCCCTGCAGACCCGACCAGCCCTTCTCGCCTCCGGCTGCCTGTCTGCTTGCACTGCTGCTCTGTGCCTGGAGCCAGGCGGCTCTTACGGGTCGGCGGAAGCGGCATTAGCCCTGAGATGATATTCACCAATCGCCTGATGCATCAAACTTCATGCTTTGCAGCGCAAGTTTACTCTGGTGGAGCCTGCTGGAAGCCTGAGCCATCCGTCAGGCCAATTGCAACTTCCCAGCGCTCATTCACCACCTGCCACCCACGCATCTGTCAGAAATCCAGGCAGTCAAACAGCAGGACATCTTTGTTGCTAATCTGAATGCACACTGCCGAGCAGTGAGCACTACATCATGGCACCTTGCAGGTGCGGAAGGTCTCAGGCTTCACGTGAAGATCAACGTAGTCCTGTCGATACTATTACAGACAAGAATGTAGCATGCCAGTGTCGCTGCGGCTGCTAGTCTGGGAAGGATCTCCGGTGCCTGAAAGCTGGAGACCCCCAGACAGCGTCCGTCCAGGAAGACTTGGCACCGACCCTGTGTTGAGGCAGCGAGGTCAAAAGCCTCAAACAAGCCAATCCAGATGAAGCGTGGCACTTGCGAAGCTGCAACCGGGCCACACATGTCACCACGCACTCAGGAGGCAGCGCTCGCCGAAGGGCGGATTCAATTCTTACTCTAGTCTCTTCACGAAAACGTCTGGAGGGCTTCTCCCCGTTGGTCTGCAGCGCTGGGTGGCTTCCCGCTGCAACGCCTGTATTGTCAGTTGAGTGCGGGATGGGCGGACCCGCTGTGCTGTGTCAACCCGCCGGTGCTCATGTTGTTTGGATCCATCTGGCTCGAAAACGCAAGAGGAGGGAGGCAACCACTACCTGTTTGGAAAGTGTTTTGGAAGTGACTACCATCTTTGCACCGGGGGTGCTCACAATCGAGAGATGACAACAAGCATCTCGGGGCAGGAAACGAACCTGGAGACGCATACGCCATACGCCTTCACGCGTACACAGATCTCGTGCGAGGCCGAATGGTCCACATGTTCAAACCACTTCAAAAATCATCAGGTACGCAATCCAGATGCTTGGATGCAATCTGTTTTCGCTGGTGTGATTTTGTTTGTGGTCAGGCCTGCCACAAGTACAACCGGCCACCATGCCAAAGTTATGTTACCAGTTCGCAGGCAAAGAGATACTGCAGGATAGTCAGAGGACTTCACTGGACTGCCAGAGACCCAAGCAACTCTGAGGTTGTAGCACGACGTCGCATGAGTGCAACAATGTCCTAGACACGAATCACACATGAAATCACACATGACCCTGTTGACATCTGTCGATATGATGTTGGCAGGGACGCTCCTCCTCGAGGTCTCGCATCCCAAAGCGGGCGAAGTCAGGAAAGAACGTTACCTGCATCAGCACCGTTTGCAGCATGATGCCTTGGGCTGCCCTGTTCAAGACATGCACTCTGCTCCAGGAGCAAATGCGGCACAGTTTTGGCGCGTTGCGCGTGCCAACTTCAAGAAAACTCAACAATCTCGAGCTGCTGTTACCAGCAGCAGTTGAAGCATTAAGAACAAACCTCTCTGAATTACAATGCTACTTGATAGTAGCAGCTAGCCGTACAGAGCCGTAGGGCAGCAACGTGTGGAGAGCAGCGAGGGCACCCCTTAAAGCCCCGCACAAGCTATGAATGCCATTAACTCCTGAATTATGAGATGCATGAAATGCCAGCCATTCAGAACTGGGAGTAGCCTCCGAGAAAGGGGCAAACAACAACGATCGCGAGCTCCCAGCTGACTAGGGCCTGCTCGGGCACTTTAAAATGTGCGCAGAGGTGTGCCCACGAGACCTTGACTCTCTTCTGGAATCAAGGGAGCCCTTCCCTCCGTGAGACACAAAAACACAGTCAGAGCACCACCTAGCAGGGTAAGGATGAAACCAAGAGCAACCCACAAAGTGTCATACCACTGCATGCTTCCAACAGCATCCTTCAAAGAGGGCGGCAGTAGCAACGCTACTGCACATAGCTCTTCAGCCCCTAGACTTGCTTGACTTGCTTGAGCTTGGATGCCAGGGCCGGTCCTAACCCAGCACGGCCGGGAAGGGCTGCTTCCCCAACTTTGCGCCACCCCGTTACTCTTTCCTGCATCTGTGTCGATGAGAGCAGAGGCCTCGGGCACACCGTACTCATACGCACATGTAAGTTGCATGCCCATGTCAGATGGCACCGCAACCAGCGCCCACGGATCGTACGTCGCACGCCGCCGTCGGCTGAGCGCCTCCCCGAGACTTGGAAGTCGACGTTTCGGTGCCAGGCGCCGAAAGGAATGGAAGTCGGCCGTGGCTGAAGTCGCGCAGCTCCTCTTATGCACAGCTCCGGAAGAATGATGTGTCTGCAGAATCTGCTGGATATGTGCGGGAGTGCACCAGCAGTGCTTTGTTGTCCCAGGTGCAGGATCGACCTGGAACTGAACTCCCATCTGGTCTGTGCCACATCGCCACGAGCCACTGGAAGACACCGTGTATCTTTCCAGCTGCTGCGTAGTATATGTCGATCCGTCAAAAAGCTCCGTCGCATAAGTTATCTGCCCTTTGCAATTGCACATCTCTTGCTCTCTGGCACACCAAAATGTCCCTGGACAGGTTGAAAGCTGTGCACTGGGAAAAACAGGCGGATGCACTTGAGGCATAAAGCCTGCTTCAGCTCCGCTAGTGCACACAAGCTGGTCGCCCGCACAACTCACACCTGCCGCAAGAACCTCGCATGTTGTCAGCCTCCATGCCTCGCGTTGTCCCCAAAACTTCGCCTGGGCCTTGAGTTTGCTTCTGGAGAAAGACGACCAAAGAGCCAACACGGTAACCAAAGTGCCACCCAGCGTCAAGCCGATAGCCCGCACTACAGTCAAAGTCATTGCACCACCTTCATGAAGGCAACTGCCAACTCTGCGACAAATTGGCAACTCTTCTACAGAATTTCGAAGGAGTAGCACAAAAACACAGGATAAAATGTGTGCCTTTTTGTTTTGTTGTTTTTGGAATGAACTCTTCGTAGTTTCTGCACACCTACCGCTGAATAAGAGCCACAAGCCAGAACACACATGCTTGTCGAGAATGGCTGCAATCGAGACGCAAATATCAGTACATCAAGCAAGGTCAATCATCCCTTTGCAGGTCCCCACTTCAACAAGTCAATGCCGAAGAACAACAAGCAGGCCTGTGTGAAGTCCTCAGACTTGTTCTGGACAATGACCGGCTTGTGACAAACGGTCATGTTCTTCTCCCAAACCTTGTTCTGAAAACTTAAGCTGCAAAAACATTCTTCAAATAATGCTCCAAAGCATACTGAGAGCGAAACTTGCTTGTACTTTTTGCCGCTCCTTCCCACTTTCCACTTTGACAGCCAGTCAAGTAGGGTTGGCATGCACAAAGCTGTCTGCATGAAAAAAAGGCAGCTGAAACCTTGAGTCTGCAGTCTCAAGGATGAACTTGGACGAGAAAATGTTGGTCAACTTGGCCCCATAACCTGCACCCGCAAACAAGCCTCATTTTGCGCATGTGTAACGTGTGGGAGCAGTGGCGGGTCGTAGCAATGATCTGACATGTGGCATCGTATTGGGCCTATTTGAGGAAGGACATCAAAAGAAGCTGGAGATAACTAAAGACATCCAACTGCCACACATGCAGGCTGCACCGTTTCGTCCACCAACAACTTTCTTCTCGGTGTCGTCGTAATTGTCACTCGTGAGAAGGTGACCTCGTCAAGCTGCGATGCTGGTTTGGTGGGTTTGAACACGACCGGACCAAACAACTAAAGTGCGCGCTGGCAAGCGCCCTTGGATGTAATAAGAAACAATTGGTATCCTGAGGACTGCACCAAAAACTAGCTCGGGAACATAGCACTTGTGCTCCCGGTGCATCTGGCAGCCGCTTGGAGAAATAAACAGGCTCCGCAAGTCTTGGAAACTGCATGCAACTGCAGTGTTCCAGATAGCCTGAACTGGCAGCCCAGCACCATTGTTCCAAACGCTCAAGGAGCCCTCCTTGCGCTTGACCTTCTCAACGACTTGCAAACGACGAAGAACAAAGAACCACAGCTAGTCCAACAGACACCTCGACACGGATGGTGTTTTGCGTCGGGTCTCGGATCAGATTGTCTGCAGCATTCACCTGCAAAGCATCGGCAGCACTGCTACTGAAACCTCCAGATGCTGACCATTCTTCTATTGTCAAGGCAGTAAACATTGCAGCAGTCACCAGGATCTCGTCGAAAATCTTGTACAAAGCAGGCACATACCTCAAAGAAAGAGCTGGGAACCTTTACAGCACACTCTAAACTCAGAGACTACTCAGAGATAAACAGGATGTCACAACAACAGGCATGCACAACAGCTGAACTCGAATGTGAACCGGTGCACAAGCAATGCTAAACTCCAGAGTGGACCCTAAAGCCAGGGCTAGGGGTACTGTCACCTGGCGACATGCCGCAAAAACCTCTGAGAAGGAGGCTTACCTTGCACATGTCTGAGGTTATCAGAACGCACAACACTGAGTGTACGACTCGAGGCTTCTCTTTGTCATCCTCTGGCTGGAATCCGTGGAATCCTTGATGCTCCATGTGAGGAATGCTTTTGTTTATTTGTTTTTCATGCACATGACACTCTCGTTTCCTCGATTGCCGGTCCCGAAGACTTCGGGAGCTGGCCACATGAATTGATATGAACTGCCATGAATCGCCCCACATATTCACTACAGCCAGAACGAGTTGTGATGAGTTCTGTGTATATTTGGTTTTGTTGCTTACGAGTGTTTAGAACTGTTTTCATCTACGGCATGTACAGCTTATTTCCGGCTTCTAAGGAGAAAGCCTGATGGTCACAGTGTCAAGATACTGCAATAATTGCTAGGCACCTGGCATCCAGCACCCAGTGCTCCTGTGTCTGTCGCTCGATAGATCCAACCTCGCGTCTGCGACCAGTCGCTCCCATTCAGCCGATGCCAGGCTTACATGCTTTTTCCTGAGGCCCACACATAGGAGTCCGGCCGGAGAAGGATGTGCCTCTCGAAACTTCGAACTTCGAGCCCAGGCCCAGTTCTTTGAAGCTGAAACTTAAACTCCAAAGAAGCTGGGCCAGCAGCTCCAACTGGCTCTTCTTCTGGTAGGTCTCTTCCACCGTTTTCCTAAGAGGTCGCTCACCATCGTGAGAATCGGCTGCGATAAACTAAATCGGGTGCCTTACTTTACGGCTCGGCATTGTCTGGAGACAAGCATCTTGATTCGTGTAGAACTAGCTTGCATGTGACTTCGCACTGACGTGTAGATGCCTCAATGGTAGCACTGCCTAAGAGGCAGACGCCTTGCGAGGATCACTCAGACCTGGGATTGCTAAATCTGCCTCATGTCTTTCAATCGAGCATGGTCTTGAAACCTAGCGCCGATCCAACGGTTCCGAGAGGTCCCTGCTCTGCTTGGCCTTTGGACAAACATTGCCGGGAAGGTTCTCCTTGTCCACCTGCGTCACATACTGTCGCATACTCCAGATGCGAAAAGGAACACTGTTCGAGGATATCGGGGGACGTACCAATGCATATAACGTGTGCCACTTAGAATGGCTGGGCACCCGAACATGGATGGTATTGGCATCCTTTCTTCGCATCCCGCTTTCAGGGTTCCAAGAAATCAAGTGCGCCACCAACCCCCTTTCGAGTGCTCCCTCCCTGCCAGTGGGCGGTAAAAAGGTTGGGTTGGGACGATGCACCAAACCTGTGTGTGTGCGTGCGGCGTACGTGCGTGTGCGCGCTTCTGTGGGAAGTCGATCGTCAGTGCAATGCTGAGAACATGTTACCTTTGACACATGGAAAATGCAAGAGCGATCAAAAAGCGTGGGGCACTTCTGTCGTACGACATGCGAAGGAAGACGTGGACATGCGCGGATAGCCAAGCCATGGTTTCAATTTAGGCTGCGCATTGTGCACAGTCGTTCCTCGGACTTCCTCGAACAAACAAGTTAATGGCCAAATACAAATCCACAACCTGGAGAATGGAGTTTTCGAAGATCGCGTTGCGTTACTGAGCATCTTTTGACAACAGTTCATGAGCAGTAATTAGTGAGAGCAATGAGAACAATGAGAACAGTGCTTGAAGATTACCTCAAGTTACCTCGCAGAAATATTCGCCAAGGCCCTTGAAAGCACGTGGTGCAGAACTGGCGGGGGGTCTCTGGGGACGCAGGTTGCTAAGGAGAGCCCCTTGTGGGTCCACAGGCACACAAACACACAAACACACATACACACACACACACACACACACACACACACACACACATCCACACCCACCAACCCACCCACCCACCCACCCACGCACACGCACACGCACACGCACATGCAAATGGATGCATGCACAGAATCTCACGTTACTGTCAAAATCATCTGTCGCATTTGATTGTACCACAATGCAACCAAGGGCACACAAAGGATTAACCGATTGCAGCACTCTTTAGCATCATCCCAACAAACCATCATGACCATCCTTAGCTTACCCGCACCCCATGCTAAACCTCCATTGACCCTTGGGAAATTGAGCTCCCCCACTGCATCCGGAAGTCTTCTCCGCTTCACCGCGGCCATGAAGGCAGACCCTGCCGTAGCAATCCAGCAATTCACGGCAAAGCAAGCACTTTGTGCGCACAGCAAGCTGCGAAACCTCTCCAGACTTTCCCTTGTTCGCAGTCGGTCGAAGTACGTGACTGAACACCGCTGTAAAGCCGAAACGGCTGCACGCTGAACAATGCAACAAAGCAAATGGACCGAATGAGCTTCCGGTCAGCCTGCCTGAAACAGCCTGCCCCCCTGCAAGCTCCCTTATGGCCCGTGATGCATACTGCATTGACAGCCACATGCAACTGCGAGCTGCTGACTGAATGGCAAGCCTCCAGCTCGCTCAATCTGCTGCTGCAGAAGCACTGTGGCAGGACGGGCCCTAAGCCTATAATCTATATGGTCATCAACACCCTTGAATTCCAGCTTCGACAGGACAAGTGCTCCGGTCAAGGAAACCCACTGTGTCCACAACAGGGCTGTACAAGTGCACTGTATGTGCGACATGAATTGCCCTGTATGGCAGTCATGCCTCATGCATGCAGCTGTGGTGAGCTTGAGGTCATGCTATACAAAGTGCTGTGGTTTCAAGCCACGAAAATGCACCTGCTGAAGGTGGATCAAAAGTCAGGCTGCAGTCTTGGCAGCGAGAAGAACCCTGCACCAGCTAACCACGCTGAAACCTGATTTGAATGCCAAAAATGAAGATCGAAGCCATCAGGCAGCAAGAATTGGGGACTCGGCTGGCAGTACAGTTGTCGTCTTGTGCCGGCGCTGGTCCCTCCCCATTGACTTGTACTCATCTTCCTCCTCCTCTAGCTCCAGAAACGTACGCCGAACCAGCACTCTGTGTTGTGTTGTCCGTGACTTGCCATGAGTCAAGCGCTCTCTCCTCAGATGTAGGACCGCCTACATGTATGGAAGCACTGAAACTGAGGGAAAGCTGCGAAACAAAGAGTATCCAGCACTTGTCACCCACTGTACAGCCGCCACTGGCAGAAAACTGTCAGCAAACAGATGCAAAACGTGAATAGGCCCCGTGCTCTTATCACTGGACCCTCGCAGTGACCAAGCAGAAACCTGTAAACTGTTTGCCGAGACTCAGAAGCGTCAATGAGGAATCTGGACTGAATCGTGGTTCTACGCCCTCATGCATGCTTGGGGCGGTGGACCCGCCATTTGCACGTCGGTAGGCCTCATAGAGTCATAGAAACCGGTTCATGACTGCTCGGACGATTGCCCCAAAGTCCAGAATGCAAACGCGTGAGGTTGGATGGGAACGAAAGAAAAAGAACAGCTCCGTGCAACTGCAAGTCAGGTTGCAGTTTTCTGCAAGAGGAAGACTTCAGTGAATCGTGTCCTCAAGGTGCTCTTGCAATGATTGGTTCCATGATTGGTTCCAATAGTTCCAGTTGTCTTCACGCAACAGCGCTCGAACATACTATAATATACTACATTGAACCCAGCAGGCGCGCAGGCGCCTCAGTGCCATCCATTGCTCCCGCCTCACCACGCACTGATAGGGCATGAGAGTACGTCCGTCCATGGAGTTGAACACGTCGATACTCTCCCCAACATTGGACAGGAGGACTGTTATGTACCTTTCCCAGCTTGAAAACGGCTGGAAATTGCTGGAGGCACTGCGACTTGCAAGATCCGCAGAGTAATGCCCCTTCTTGTTCACAAGTTGCTCAGACAGGTAGAACTTTGAGCTGCCAACAGACTCGGGACTGAAACCTGGGTCGGGCGAACGGACATGATGACCGTTGATCTGAGCCGTCCACCGAAAATGTTGGATTTTTTGTCGAGGCACGTATCCAGCGATCCAGGCCAAGTTTCTCTCCTGGCACTGAGACGAAGCACACTCCAAAGCCAGAGCACTCGCAAGCCGAAATCACACACTTCAGTGTCCAACTGCGAAGAGCCAAAGCAAGGAAGAACGTTTCACGGGCGATGCAAGGGACTTGGAAAAAATGTCTGTGACAATTTGTTTGACCCATGGTCCAGCAACAATGGTGGTCGTCGGAGACTCGTCTGTGACCAAAGGGACCAGAGGCAAGCCACGCTTGCAACTCTGGATTGTCAAAACCTTGGAGCGAAATCACCCTGGTCAGCTCGCACCATCGAGATGGGCGTGACATGCATGAAGATGTCCAAAGATGTCTGCGCGCCCTAGACCCGACCATAGACACAACTGACACAAAACTGACCGGTGAAAAATCGGGCCAGATGCCACATAAAAAGACTCATCCATCTCGCGCATTGTAGCAATGCTCGGACCTTGGTGATGCAGTTGCAAAAACACCTTATCCTACCGCGCACTGTATGTTTTCAATAAGACTCAGTCCAAGACCATTTAGAAGTCGGTCGGCAACTCTCTGTGCTGACTCCAACACAAGACTGAAGTGAATTGCCGCCCAGTCATCGAACCTCGGCGTCACTTCTGAGAGGCCTTCGGCGGCAGCTCTGACATGTCTAAAGCTTAAAAATATCTGAGCCGCTTGTCAGTGGGAACATTGAAAGCGCCAATCACATCAAACCTGCCGTTCTCAGCGCATGGATGACATACCAGAAGCCCAGCACGTCCAACTCCATCCTGATACAACGAGAAGGAACCTTATCAAAACAGGCAATCAGAATGTTGGGACAGCGTCCGCAAGAAGCTAGATTGGAGACCGAAATTCAAAAAACACAAAGAAAATCAATGAAGACAAGTTGCTGTCACCAACATGAGGAAAATCTCGACGGAGGTTCTGGAAAGTGGGGGCTGACGCGCGCTGCGTCAGCGCGTAAGAACTCTTGCCAAATGGTGCTTCTAGATCAGCAAAGAGGAGACCTGCTCTACACTGAAAACACACAGGATGCAATCATGCCAGGTACATGGGACAGCTTAGATCACAAACCCGACAATCAAATATTCAAGCCAAGAGACTGCCCAGCCGAAGCAAACCCCAAGAAGAGAACTGCTGCACGGTGCACGTGCCAGGCTCATGCAGTTCCAGCAAATCGGGTATGAAGCCGCCCTGAGTTCATGCAAAGGCCAACGCTTTGAATTATCCACTTCCATAGAACCCGACGCATCCCCACACGAGTCGAAAACCACTTTGAGAATTGCGCCGTCCCCATCTTCTTCGCATGAATCACCCTGCACGCACAGCAACTTGAAAATTCACACAACTCGTTGCAGCTCGGCAAATCCAAGCCTGATTTCAGGTCGCACCAAAACCTTGCAGCATGCACGCCCCTTGTCAGTGACAAGGGGCGTGGCTTGTCACTGTAGCAAAAAGATCACAAAAAGGCCCTGTTTGTTGCGGAAACAAACACTTAGATTTCTCGGCCAACACTCTCGCTAGTGTTCCGATGGACACCATTCACTGCTATGCTCGACAAGGAACGTGGCTTTTTACCACAGGCGGATTGTGCACAACAACGCTGTTCAGCACGAACTTCACCAAATGGCCACCCCACGGACATTGGCAATGAAATATGGCGGCTTTGGCGGAATGCCTGCTGCGAACATTGAAAACGTATCAACCGAACGTTGAAATAACTTGGACAAGTCGTTGGCCAATTATGCGGCCAATAGTTGCCGATGGGGCACTCTTCGACGTCGACTTCCTCCCAGCCGTCATCCAACAACAAGTGCGGCGTAAAGTCGAACCATTCCTGAATGCAGTACTGAATTTAAATTATCACAAGCTGCTTGGCAGCATCACTACACCATGACGCAACGCTTCGCTGAAACTGAAAGTCGCAACGGATCTTGGCAGTCCTGAACATTTCGCGGTTCCATCACCATTGCGGCACTCGCCTTTTTGAGGTTCCTTTTGTCTCACCGAGCATGAAACAGTATTACTTGCTCTGTGAGAAAGAGTGCATGAAACTTTAAACAATATTACTTGCTCTGTGAGAAAGAGTGTACCAGCAAGGATCCCCACATGCAATCAGAGCAACTATGACCGGCTCCAGTTGGGGCTGCGAGCCAGCATTCATGATGTTTTTGTCCAGTAGTCACACAATGTCATCGCAGCGGATACTCTCATGCAACTCTTCTGCTAACGACGCTCTGTGATGTTTGGGAGGGAACTTTGCCCAAACCCTCGCAGTGGCCACTGTCGCGCGAATCCTACCGAGGATTTTTGGACATTTTTGGGGATCTTCCAACACATGTCAGGTCCGATTCCGATGTAGGCACCTGTAGCCAGTTCCAAAATAACAACTTTCCCAAAAAAGGGCCGATTTGTACCCCCAAAGTGAAGTCAGCCATTGGTGCCCTTGCTTATGCTGGGGCCTTTTGGGAGCGTTCTTTTGGGACACTTGTGGAGCCTCCTGCCTGGGCCTTTTGTTGCCTTTTGGGTGCTACAACCTGGTTTCGGTTAAGGGGTGATCACATTAAACTCAAATCCACTATTTAGATTGAGACGTGGGTGGGCGGGTCGGGCGAGAACGTTGCGCACTGGCACAAAACACACGCCTGCGTGGCGCGGAGGTCTGGCTCTCCTTGTTTTTCTTAGGAAAAGAAACCACGGGTTCCGGGGTTTTGGCGCTTGCTCATGTGACTGACGTGAAGGGTGACCCAGGCGTTGGCGTGGGAGCACGCGAACTATTTCTAAGCATCCAAACTCGGGAAACTCGCAAACTCATAGCTGTCACGAGTTCGAGAAGCGAAATGCTTGAACTTTCTAACTTTCGAATTTTGTACAATCTTTGCAACTTTCGAACTCGAAAGCCTTTGCACTCTCAAATCAAGCACGTCGCTCGTGATGCCCTTCCCATCCCTTCCCCCCAAAAGTTTTCAATATTGACCCCCCCCCTGTGCAAAATCTCGAAAATATCAGTCAGCTACAATGCAACCTGATGGGTTTGACCGATCCCCCATTACGCTCGCTTTTGCGATAATATTCTTTTGCGCAAATCTTGATCTCTTCTCATCCCTTCTGCTAGTTTATTATCATTACTAATATTGATGTGTTTTTAAAGCTCCTGCTCCTCCCCCCTACTCCTGTGCTTCTGGCACTGCTTTCTTTCGGGTGCCATCCTGGCCGAACTACGGTTGGCCATCAAATGGCCACCTTCACTAGCCGCAAGTTCTGCCCATTTTGGGCCAAGGGATGTTTTTGTAACCCTGTGCGAACTGCAACTAGGCTCCAGGCGACCGGGGGAGGCCCGACGGGAACGCTTCCGGAAACATGCCTGAGCTTGTGCTTGGATGCAAGTGGCGAGGTCCCAAGCGTGGGAGCTGGGCAACTCGTGGTGGTCGGAGTCCGCGAGATGTTTTCCTGCCCGCTGAGCAGCTTGGCAGTGCCACCATGGGGCCAAACAAGCTTGAATTGGGAACCGAGTTGGCAAAGACCTCACCGGCACCAGGGGGGCCACATAGTCCACAATGCCAAACGAGCAGAGCCTAACATGCAGCGGCGCTCGGGACTGCTGCGAGAGGGTCATGGAAAACGTCGGCTCGCTGCAAAGATTTACATTGCCGCCTCCACATCGGGGGTCCAAGCCCACGATGCCAAAGACGTGCAAGCCACACGCACTCAACTCATGGCCACGGTCAATGCAACTGCGGCGCCCATGCTCTGGCCACACAGGATCATGCCCTGCGCATCCATCTGGTGGATAGCAACGCGGAGCGATGCGCAAGGGAAGCCAGTGAGCAGGACCTCCTCCATCAGCTGCAGTATTCGGGTTTCGCCCATCATCAGGCTTCTACACTCTGAACACGGCACCGCCACCAGGAATGCGCACAGCACCTGTGAAGACGAGTATGGAGCTTTCGAGAGGCGTCCTGTGAATGTCGGCCAAAGATACAACTAAGGCTGAGAAACACGCGTCTCCTGCGTGCCTCCCTGCGCTCTGCAGCTGCATTTCAAGCATTCGAGGCTTGCGACACAAAGTAAAACGACGAAGCGGCACAGTCTATCTACAGCTTTGTTTAGAGTAACGTGGCCTGGACGTCGAAACTCCCTTCAACGAGAACAAAGCACGTTCTTTCCGCATCAAGCTGTGCTGTACACGCATGCGGTCAACGACGAATCGAAACACGACTTGGCTGATGAGCGGAGCATCGGGGATGTCGGGGGTCTGACCAGATGAGCAAAAAGCACCTGCACCGCGAAGCCTGGGTCCCTCCTTAAGAAAACTCTTCGAGGAAGGTTGACGAAGTTGGAAAGCAACTTTCCCTCCAGTCATCACTGAGAGCTCCGCGCTTCACGGCTTTGTGGCATTTGTGGCTTTATCTCCTCACTAGGGTAGAAGAAAAGAAGCAGGTGGAGCAAGTGTGTTGGGCCAACTGTAGTTGCAATGAAGCCGCTGATTAGAAGCATGAGCCCTTCTTTTCGAGTCGTGGCCCGGTAGCCCCGAGCCCGGTTAAAGCCGCTGCACTTCCGAACCGGGCCCTGATGCGAGCATTGTCTCAATATCCTGAGCTGCACAAGCATACTGAACAGGGGTATCGGGCTGCCAAGTACTGCCATGCCTGCTTTCTTTTTTGTACAACTAAGCGCCGCAATACCCCTCGCCAAGCCATCTTCAACTGGCAGCTTGGCGAGCAAAAAGAAAGCACAACACGAGGGCTCATGGGAACAGACCAGCTTTCACGGAAACACGGTCCTTGTCCCAAAAGGTGTCATGGCCGCCCGGGCTGCGAAAAGGGGCACACACTGATTGCTGTTGTTCTCGAAGGCTTCACGCAGAGCTCCAGGATCAGGCCAAGGTCGTCTGGCGAGCCTTCGGCCACGGAACGCGGACCTTGCTTCGGCCTTGGAAGCCATGACAGGTCAGCCATGACCACTGATGTAGCCAGAGCTGAGCAAACAAGTGCGACAGGTGATCTCAGAGCATGTGCTGCATGATCTTCCACAGAATGGGATGCGAAGCACACGGGAGCAGCGCAAACGTTGCCAGCCTTGCCAAATGCAGTGTTTTTCACTTGCGCAGCAAATGCAGTGTTGAACTTCAGGGTTTCATGGGTTGTGTCCTGCTGTCACTAGTCCTACATTTTCAGGTGGTGGAGCTCGCGGGCCTGGGAAGAGCAAGGAGAGAGCACCCAGCGAATCCAAACCCGCGTTGTCCGTTTGGCTTGCTATTGCTAACGCTGCTAAGGACTACCGCTGTAATATACGAGTGCAATGTTCGGCCATGGAAGTTGCCTGCCTGCTGCACCTTGGCGAGGTTATCTTTGTTCCAGCTCGGACAGGCCTTCTTAGCCCGAACCCAGAGGCGTGACTGCGGCGTGTCACACACCCCTGCGCATTTTCGGGCTCAAGTGGTCAGCCGCCGAAGCCCTGCCGGCAGGGCGTTCTTGCAGATGCTGACCGAAGGACAGCTTCAGGCTTCCAGCCAGTGCAAAAGGGTCGCTCACAAACCCCATCCTCTCTCGATCGTTTTCTGAAGGTCTTGGCTCAGAGCCTTGCCGGGAAGGTGGGCCTTCGGTGGCAGTCGCAGTGTGCAAATGCCACAGACCTGCAAGAGAAGCAGGCTCGAAAAGCAGCCTTTTCCAGAGAGACTGCTTGGCCGCAGACAGTAGCGGAGTGGTCCGGGATGCTTCGTGCATATTCTTGGGTGTAGACCAGCGTGCAAATCTCTTCTGATGTCACAATCTTCACCGAGATATACCGAGATGGAGGCTGAGCTCGAGCCACGAGCAGATTTGGGGGGTTTCAGTACTGCACTGAGAAAATGAGCGCCAGGCGCTTCCCACTCCATTAGAGCCGGCAGCAGGTGCTGCTTGCAAAAGCATCCGCCTGTATCGAAAATGGCCAACTTTAAACGATAACAAGTCCTAAACCCTAAAGATCCCTAAACCATCTTGAACCAAAACCAGGTTTGTTTCCATCAAAACCCTGGACGAGCGCGGCATCTGATGATCTCTGATTTGGTGAAAACTTCGCTCCGACAAAGACCGAAACATGCGAAACCCTGCGGCTTTCACGTTTCACAAGCCCCTCAAGGCTTGCGGGGAACAGGTTGGCAGACTTCCTCGGTTCTTTGTCTGCGTGGCACTAGCGATCAAAAAGTGATCTGGAGTCTGGAAGAGCGGTGCAGCTTGGCAAGCCCTTAGCTCGACTGGCGCGGGACCTAAAGATGCTCTTAGAGCAGGCCGCGGACACGTGCGCTGGCAGAAACCTGTGTTTCTGTACGGCAGCCGGGAAAACACTGAGAACAGTGTTTAAAATCTGCGCAGAGATCGGAGGGTTTAGGATCGCCGAAGGGTCGTGGAATCTTGACGGGCTGCTTGACAAGATTTGACAAGCTGCCAGCGCGTGGCTCTGAAGATGGATCTTAGGGAGCCCAGGAGACCTGAGATGAACGGAGAAGCTCTTGCAACTAGAAGATGGCAAGTAGTTGAAGGCATTGCCCCATAGAGGTTTCGCTGTGCTTGCTGGACGGAGGAAAAAGCCGAAAGAATGAGCACTGAGTCCTCAAACAACACCCGAACAGCTCGGATGGAGTTGAGGCCTGGACAGGCACGCAGCTTCCCGCATGACAGCAGCTATCGACGTAACACATGTGACGACGTCTTCGGCCAAACGATGCTGATGTACATATCACATATCAACACTGGCCAAAAGGACTTCTAATTTTGGACCACGTTACAAGGTTTGTTGCATATAGCGGGTTTTCGGTGTCAAGCCTAGTCGTGTGTGGATCCCATGTCGAACTTGCTTTGCATGCCTCACAGAGCCAGATTCCCGTTGCCTTACCAGCTCTTCGAAAGTGCTCCCCTAAACATCCTAAACCCTTTGCACATGCGGGTTTTCTGTTCCATCTTCGAGAACGAACTTCCCTAACAAGCAAAGGGAAAACAGCGGTGAGAGCTGGGAAACACACGGAAACATTATCGCAACTCGCTGTGCTCATAATGCTCGAGACCTCGAGCCAGACATCCCTCAAATTTAGCCTCTCTCGAAACTACGGGATCCCTTTTGGGGGTCTACATCCATGGAATCTTGTTTAGGGCTCGGCTACGTGGGCTCTTGGTTGCTCCCCTCTCAAGGCATCTTGCGCAGGCTGAGGCGCCATGTTCAGTTTGCCTTCTGCTGGGCGCGACGAACCGATTGCCCTCCATCAGCTCCTGTCCCAAAGGCTACAGATTTCTTGGAACTGGATCCAGGAAGTCCACCATCGTCCACTGGAACCCTGTGTTAGGCCCCACACAGCACACTTGTTTCATCCGCCAAGCTCGCAGCAGGTCATGGTTGCAATGGAAACAGCTGTCCTTACTGCTCTGTGAACATAGTCACGAATACAAAAGCTGCGCATGGAGAGCTGAAACATAGAGCGGTAGCCAAGACAGTCGTGGTAGTCGTGACGCAGAGTTGCTCGGAGAGCGCTCAGGAAACAAGGTGTGCTGAGGCGGAAGGCAGCTCGGGCAGGGTGCGCATACACAGAACGGATCGTCGTGCTTGGCAGATCAATGCAGGCTTTGGCAAACAAACGGTTTTATGCAGAACTTCCAAGATAAGGAGTGTGGAGCTATGCTGTATGTCCGTGAAGGCCTTACGGGTTCGAGAAACTGCTGTCAAGGGAAAAATTCCGCAATTGAAACCGGAAGAGGCTTTCCTCAACGTCAAGCATCACTGTGGAAACAGAGCAGTGGTGGCTGCAAATGGGAAAAGGCTGATGTGCGACTCGTCAGGCCGAGGGAGCCACATCTTGCGGAAGGCTAAAGAACGTCGAAGCACAAAGCACGCAATGATTCAATGGGCCGGTCCATAGCTTGCGTCGCAGGTGCTGCAAAGCAGAGCTGGGACCTGCATACTCCAGAATCCTGACATGCAGATTTCCTGCTAAGGAACGCCGGGGGTACGTACGTGATGCACCTGCGGCAAGGAGAAGAAGCACGTGCAGAAGCAAGGGGAATGAAACCACAAAAGTCTTAGGTTCGCATTCTTGCTGTGCACCGGCGGGGCTGTGTTCAACACAACTCGCTCTGAAGAAACTCCCATGCAGGCCCATTTCTGCGCTGGGTGCCGCAATCGCCACAAGGTGCCAAAAACGAACGTGTATTGGAAGGCTCGGGCAGAAGCTGGGAGCAGCTTTCCACCCTTTACTTCCGGGGAAGACACAGTCACAGCACAAGTCGGCGAGATCCGCTAGGGCTGCGTCCGAGATTGCGCAGGCATCATGTGTGAAAGAGCTGTCGGTGCTGCAGCACGGGGCAAAGGGTAAGGTCTCGGAGCCCCGGTGGGCCACAACACGATGTTGCATCAGACGGAGGCACAGCCCGAGGATCCAGCAGGCAAATAGCAGACATAGCGGAGATAAGGCAAAGGCAAGTGGCATGCAACAAATGCAAGAACTTCGCTGATTGTCAGGCATCGTCCCACAAGTTCTTGCCAGGCTTGGAAGTGGCGGTCGAGATTGTCAAGTTGCATGAGGATGCAACGCAAGATGAACTACACGCCATGCATTGCCGCGATAACGCGCAGCGAGACCGCTAAGGCCAAGGCAGGGTCATGTGGGCCAGCTTGCCCAGGATGATCTGGGGATAGCTGTGCCTATAGGCTGTGGCAGACCACTGGGCCAGAAGACGTTTGCAATTCAGCCTAGGCCTACACTCGGATACCGCCTGGGATACTTCTGCACTGTGAAGCCTCCAATACGGGTCCATCATCCGGGAGGTCGCTCGCTTAATTATCCTGCACACTCCTCAAAAATGTTGGATCCCTTACTAACCTGCAGGATGAAAGGCTGCATGGTGCTGTGAGGCAAGCAAGAAAGCACGGAATGGCAACAGCAACAGCGAACCGCCCGGTTGCGGAAAGTCGTTGCAGAACTTTGCTCGACCGTAGCCTCTGCCCACCGTCATGCAC